ATCCGAAATTTGATTGATCTAATCCATTAGTGGGGTAAATTTGCTGATATTTCACATCATATTTTGGAAGTTTGCTGAAAATATATTGTGATTGCACCTTTAAATAAGGACTGCTATGCGCTTGCCTGCATCTTGCAGAGTTCCATTTTCGTTTAATTCCTAGCTGCGCTATCCGGTTGGCTTGTTAGAATTCGTGAATTTTAATATCACATACTCACTCCTAGATGAGAAAATTACATTTCAATAGAGAAAGCTATTTCACTCAATAATTCTGAACCATTCATTAGCAGAAGAGAGGGAAACTGATTTTAGAAGTCGATTGACTTTAGTTTATTTCATAAAATCTTTACAAGACGGTTTGGCCTCAAGTTTGTGATATTTCTTTATACACATGATATTACGCTATCTTGAGAGTTAGGGTAAGGAATAGAAAATATTGTTAGCCCACTCTTCTCCATTTGCAACACCAGTCTGACATCCTACCATTAAATCCACGAGAACTCGCTGAGGTCGATAAGGAAGTGTACGCTCAAGAGAAATATATGGAGAAAATGTAATTATTTCGAATACAAAAACTGTACAATTTTCAGGGGTTGGAAAGGTGGGGATGATAGCGTTGAGGGGGAAGGGGTTCCGGGGGAAGAGTCTTGTTGAGAAATTCCAGAGATCATTGGACAACTTTATTTTGCCCGACGCTCTCCAAGATTTCTTTAACTATATCAAGTACCTCTTCACCCGATCGTGCATACTTCACGCTTGCATAAGCCTTCAAATCCTCACTAAAATCTGGGCCATTTTCAAGGAAGTCGTCTATGTATGCTCCGATGAGTTGTGAAGATGATGGGAATACCTTTATTAACTCAGGCTTCAACCAGGGCCAGTGTTGCAACATCAATTCTAGTAACTAAAAAGCAGTGAGAAATTTAGAATCATCAAATGATAGGCCGCTAGAAGAAACAACATTACTTACCACATTGAATTTCGCTTTATTTCGCGAATCCACATTGAATAAACAAAGTTCGAAATAAGTTGCAATTAGCTTGCAGTTACTATAGTTCACCACTTTGAGAGAAACTATCCGTCGGAGGTGGCTGAAAAGGAAATTTAATGTAGCAAAGCTGCATTGCCATTTCTTTGTTGACGTAGTGCGGTTCTGTAGAAGTGGAGAATTATAGACTTCACTAACAGTTGAGTTGAATGGGGCAAATATGGACAATCATTACAAATAAATTAAGTAAGAAGAAGCCATTCAAGGTCATATTTTATGCGTACGCATTGAAAATTAGTACTTAACGCCTTCCGTTTGCACAACAAACCAAACGAGCGAATACTCCTTAGAGTTGCGAAAAGGGAGTGTTTGCTCATTCTCTCTGTTTCTTGGGGAAGTCTGACGGCTAGTTCTGTCCACGATGTTGGATCGCAGATAGGCTCCGGCAGACTACGAAGAAACAATTGGATGAGCCCAGTCAAAGCTCGAATATCATTCCATGTGGGAAGAGAGATCATGGAATGAGGATTGAGGAGAGACTAATAAGAAGGCAAGCCTTAGGTTATCAATAGAGTTAGAGCTTTAATTATAAGGAGGAATTAAAATAATTACGCGATTGGATGCACAAACGAATCGATCAATTTCACTTTGTCTTCCAGGAACTCGGTATAATCCCATAATATGGAGACCGCGGGATTCTAGCGCTGCTATTGTTGCATTCAAAACAAGTGGAACGTTCTAAACAATGAGATAAAGAGATATCAGGAATACGTGAGCAGAGTAAACCAATTAAATGCAACCAGTTAAACCACATACTGGGAACTCGTGACTAGAAATTTGATCCTCCAAGGCAGCACCAAAGACAGGACCACGCTGGGTATACTTACTGACGTCAGATGGATCTGTCATCATTGAAGAATATTGAGGCGTTTTCACACCTCCAGCGTTCTTCTTCTTCTTCACCATGGCGTTTAGACCTCACTCAACTTGGATAGGAGGAATTTGCATTTGGAAATTTCTTCCAAACTGGGTGCTTTTGCGATATTATTAACTGAAAGAAGTAAAGTACAAGCAAACCGTGAAATGCCAAATATTTGAAAGTTATTTATTTATTTCAAATGGCAGGCGTTTTGATAACTATCATTAGCCATTTAGCTGACTTCGGGGTTCACAGAGGGAAGGTTCATCAAAGTAGCAGAAAGTCGAGGGGTGAAGAACAGAAGAGCGATTCACAGATGTAAAAGAGATAGACAGACACAAAGGTAGAGAAAAAGTAAAGGTGAGTACTGTGGAAGGGATCGAATATGACTTGCGGTAGACCGTGAGAGTTTGAATTCAAGAGTCAACTGCCGGTTTATAGACTTTTTTGCCGCATGAGTATACGTTGCCCAGGGTGCACCACGTGGAGTTAAGTCTATCGCACACCACATATTTGAAACTAAAAGACTGAAATGTGGTTGGGGGGAGGGGGGGAGGAGGGGAGTATGATGATTACCTAAAGATGGCTCCATAAGTCGCTTTTCTTCAATGACGTGTTGGCGTAAGGCTGTTGCATGGAGACTTTTGCGAGAACGGAGGAATAGTACTCTCCGACGTGACATAATTTGAGGTGGAACAAGCTTGGACGCTGGCACATTTTCTTTCTCCGATTGAGTTTGATGATCCTGAAAGTAAATCAAGTAGAGTTTAGAAACCTGATTTTCCAGAAATATACACAGTTAAGCATCTATGCTCATGCGTTAAATGAGCGTTAGTTTTAAGCAGTAGACAAGACTTACCAATTTATGGGATTCATGCATCAAAAGATATGATCCTCTCGACGAGCAGCGGCGTCTACGCCAACCATTCCAAAGAAGATGTAGCGCCTCATTAGAGTCGGCTGACACAGTAGAGTTGAACAGGTTCTCCCTAGCATAGCAAATGAATCGAGGCATCAAGGTTCTGCGTTTGGGCTTTCGTCTTTGTGATTCAGATGACGAGTAGTTATTGAAATCCTGTGTCGTGGAAGGCATGAAAAGAGAAGCAAGCCGGCCGCGAGTAACTTGGTAGTCTTTCGTTGTTGTCGACAGCATTGTGATTTAAAATGAATGAAGTGGCTAAGTTAGAGATGTCCCTTATAAAGACTCACAGTGAACCAATCAGAATTGTGAGCATCAAGCAACCAATCACATTGAGCCTTACAAACAGATACAGCCAATCATAGCTAGCATTCTACTTCCTCGTCTTGCTGAACTGATAGCCAATAGAATCGTAACCTTTTCCGGCAAACAGAATGCAGCAATAACGCTGGAAAAACGAGACACTGATATTTAATTTAGGCCAGCTCAATTATTAAAATTGAAAATAAGATAGGACCGGTGCCTACTTTAAAATCTCATTGGTGCTTCGGCTTTTAATTTGCTTATGGTTGGAGTTCATTTCTAATCTTCGGTAAAATCCATAAAGTTACAAAAGGAGAATGACTTTAACAACTATATAAATTCACTTGTTGTCAACAATTTATTTCAACTGTTTCTTCTTCTAACTTTTGTCTTTTGTGAGTTAGTGCTTTGTGCTAGCCTACTCCACTCATATTCACAGCATTCACGTGCACATTTTGCACGTTTCATTATTTGATAAAAGGTCACGTGGCCTCTATTGGCCAGTATTTGGAAATTATTACACTTACCCAAGTCACATTGTTGGCTATTGGAGAAAGCAAAATGATATATTACATACTATTCGAGGATCACAAAATTCCTCTAAACACACCTTTAAAGTGTCCCAAAAATTTCATATTACACAAAATTATTTGTGCTCTGCTCAGTTCACTAATGCTTCAAATTGCACTCTATTTGAAACTGCAGAGTCCCCTCATTTAGTATGAATGTGCATTGCAAGTATATGATTTTTGGATATTCACCTTTTCGGTATAAACAAGCTACGCCATTTTCTCTATCAAAAGAAGCCAACTAGTTGAGGTAGTTGATCCAACTTCCGAATTGATAATTCGACATTTGAGGAGTAAAATCTGATCGTTCGAATTATAGGATTAAACTCATGAAATAAGAGGAAATAAAAGAAACCTATAATTAAAGGGAATTTAAATGGCCTCTAACAGCTTCAACTTTTAGTTCTACTCAGCTCAGCCCACCCATTCCTCCCACCCCTCTAACCCCACCTTAACAAACCATTTCAGTATTCACTGATGAGATTGCTGTTTTAGGGTTTAAAGTAGTAATTTTCGCTTTCAAACCCCAAACATTCTCATTTATTAATATCGCCAAACTTAAGGATAATGAATGGAAGACGTGGTTTCGATCTTGTACTTCCTTGAGTGACCTCAAGAGAACAAGTTTTAACAGCTGCCTAAGAAAAATTTCAAGATGGAAAAATCGTGTAATATTATGCTTGTATTGGTGCTAACTTTCTTGTTTGAAATTACACGATAGTTTAAAGTGAGGACAGATGTATTTCTTTTGGGTATTTGTTTAGGTCATTCGTCTTCTATATTAAATATATTCTAAGTGCTACAAAATCTATAGACAATTGTCTTACGTCGTACTGACAGAAGTAGGAGGCAATTTTGACCACCCACTTCACGTTCTTCGTAA